CCATTTCCCCTCAAAATACCGGGTGTCTCCTTCCCCTGCCCCCTAGAGGCGGGGTCTGTTCCCCCCCCTCTCTCCATGGTGCCCCCCGCCCAGATACCGGGGGAGCTTTAGGGGCCGAGCCCTGCCCCCGCCCAGCCGGCGCCCACCACAGGACACCAGGGAAGGGGGGAGCTCGCCGCCCCAGCCCCCAGGGCAGCACCTCGCTTCCAGGCAGGCGGGGCGGTGCAGGCTGTGACCCACGCCCCGAGGCCAGAGCCCCGCGGGGCGAGGAGCTCCCCACCCCGCCCTGACGGGAGATCGCCCCCTAGCCCGACCCACAGGGCCCCTGAGGTGAGGCACCCGCCCAGGGCAGCCTGGGGCAGAGGAGGGCCCCGCCGCACCCAGGAGCCGCTGCCCGGCCTCACCTGCCAGTGCTGCCTCAGCTCGCTCTCGCGCCCTCTCTCCGCCCAGTCCCCAAGATGGCGGCTACTCCCCCCTCCCTAAGGCGCCCCCCCATTACTGCAGAGCCGCCGCATCTGCGCATGCCCATCCCACGCCCGGCAGCCTCTGCGCATGCGCCTCCAGGAGGGCGGGGCCGGCGGGAAGGGAGAAGCGCGCAGGCTGAGGACGCGAAAACTTCATGTCCCAGTATGCACCGCGACAGCTTGAGCCGCGCGGCGTCAGAGGCCACTCGCACTGCATACTGGGATTTGTAGTCTCCCCGGCCAGACCCCCGCGCTGGAGACCGTGGACCTCCTGGAGGGGGCGTTGCATGCTGCGGCTTGTAGTCCCTGAAGATGGACAGCGCCAGAGGGCTGAGTTCGAGCCCGAGGTTGGGGAAAAGAAACGTCCCGCAAATCCAGAGGGTTGGGCTGCGGTCACGGGGCTCTGTTGGGGTAGGAGGCACCCCCTTATTCCCAGAGCTGGGGTCGAGCCTGCAGGAGCTCTGGCCACCAGTGTGTGGTGAGATGGGGCAGCAGGGGCCACATAGCACCTGTGGGTGTCTCTGGGGTCAGGGCGGGGAGCCCCATCAGTACAGGCACTTTAATGCCACTCCCAAGCTTATAGAATCCCTCCCAGCCACAACCCTGCTGGCACTTGCCTGGCAGCTGGGAGCCGCCCCAGCATTCTTTCTTCATAGTGGGAAACTAAGGCACAGATTGGCAAAATGCTTCATCCCCTAATTCACCTTCCCCACCACCTCACCCTCTCCCCCAACATTCAATAATCAAATAATGAGATTAGCTTAAAACGGTGAGGTTAAAGAAGTTCTTTTTATTTCCCTTCTGGCTTTTGAGACTTTAATGTCTTGGGCCCACTTTTAGGCTTTGGGTTTGCACCCATGAGGGCTTTAAAAAAATAAAGCTGAGATTCTCCCACAGTCACTTGCCTCCAGAAGCTGGGGCTTCAAGTTTAAACACCAGCTACTGCCAGAGTTGGCAACTCTCCTAATTTCTTGGTCACCCTTCTGCCTCATTTGTCCAAACCAGGGCCTGGAAAAAGCCCTAAAATGTCCAAAGGGACCAGTTCAGCCCGAGCCTGCTGTATTAGCAATAGGACACATTCTCTTCTATGATGCTATTAAAGATAAAGGTGTCAAAGGCAGGAAGCCAAGTTGAGCTGGAACCAGAACTGCAGTCACATGCAGGAGACAGGCGGGAGGTGTAGAGGCCAAGTCTGCACTTAGAAGGCTTTACTAGTACAGTTATACCTATCATCAAGGTGCTCCTAGCATAGACACAGGCCCAGTTTATACTGGCAAAACTTCACTTTTGGCAGCATAACTTATTCTATCCCCCTCCGAGCCAAATAAGCCAGCCCACCAAAAGCAGCGTTTTGCAGGTATAACCGCACCTAAACTAGCTTTTTGCACGCCCCGCACACTGCCGGCCCGACAGCTATGCCAGCAGAAATTTGTAGTGTAGAGCCTGCTGTATACTGAACCCCATACATGTTGGAGGGGTGGGGGTTCTACTGAAACCCATTTATTCCCATGTATACACAGCAGATGGAGGGAGAGGGGGTGGGGAGATTATTCACCCATCCCCTTCAATTCTATGGGCGTTGCATTAGCTTCCCTCTGTTTAAGACAGGCCTAAGAAGAAAGAATAGATCAAGCCCTGCAGTTTAGGTTTTAGTTAAGAGATGTTACAGCTTCTTTTTCCTAATGACCTTCATCAGGGCACACATTTGAAAATATAACACACCCCTGCGGGTTGGGCCTCAGTGAGTATGAGAGTCTCTTTCTGTTGGAGGAGCAGCAGTATAGGACAGACAGTGACTGTTCACTTGCCAGAGCCGGAAACATCTGGGAAGAGCTCATCAGGAAATGAATAGGATCAAGTATTCTAGGCCTCAGCAGCGAGGGAAGCCTGCTGCAAGCCAGCCACACCAGCCGAAGACGCAGGACAGAAGAGTAATAAAACCAACAGGAGCCAGGATTCCAATAAAACTATGTTTATAAATAAAAACAAGGAGATTGGTTTTGTTTTTATAAAACCCAGTGGGCAGGGGGAGAAGCCAGGCCAATGCCAGGATGATGAGTTGGCTGGAAGGCAGGGTAGGATGGTAGGCGGCAGCGTGAGCTGGCAGGATAGTGGATATTAGACAGGCTGGCACCAGGGTAGATATGAAGGATTATGCACAGTAGACGAACTGGTAGCATGGTAGGGAGCTAGAAGAATGGACGACTGTAGAAGAGTTGGTGCTGTGATAGAGGGGCAGGAGGATGGCACATAGGGCAGGATGGCTGGTGCTGGGATGGCAGACAGGGCAGTAGATGAGCTGGTGCCAGGTGTAAGATATATTTCACCTGTTAAGAAGAATAACCACAACTCCAAGGAGTTTACACGGTTGCAGAGGAAGCTGTTGCACGGCAGCGAGAGGACCCAGGGAGGAAAGGGAAAGACTGTGGCAAAGCCCCTCATTGGCTGCGGTGGAGCGTAGCGTACCATGTACTGTCTCGTGCACTAGCCAGTTACCCAAGATAGCCTCTCTGTCACACCAGCATCAGGCAGGAGGAGCAGGGCTCCAAGAGACTCCAGGAGGCTGATGGAGAAAAAGGGAACTTTTCTCTAACAGCTAAACTGACTGCAGTCCTCCACCGGGACATGGGCCCCGGCCCTGCACACATGCCACAGGCAAGGGCCTGCAGTACCACGTCACAGAAGGGGGCAGCATCTCAAGTAGGGACTGTCACAGCAGGGCCAAGGCTGTCACTCTCCAGTCTCCTGGTCCGTCCCCACCCCTCCCTTGTCCATGGAGAGGATGAGGACAGGAAGCCCCTTACCCCTCTAGAACAACAGAGGGAGGCAGCAAAGGCAGGGGGAATTGCCATTGTGCTGGCCCCCCCTCTAGAAACACCAAGGCTGCCCCTTACTCAGCTTCTTACCCCCTCCTCTTGCTCTGATTAGGCCTAATAGCTTCTGCACCTTAAGCCTGCGGCTAAGCAGCAGTGTAGGAGAGTACAGCCAGTAGCTGTTGCCCCCAGCTACACACAGCAGGCCTGGATGGAGCATGCTCTGTGGCCACGGAATGGGTCGCCAGGCCCATGGTCATGCAGGGGGTGGGAGAGGCTGCCTAGACTAAAGGCACATTTTCAGAGCTAGACACCCGCACTTGCAGAGCGGCAGGTGCAATTGAACCCTCACGTTCAGCCAAATCCACACCAGGCAGCTCATGGGCACGAGCAGAGCCTTGAGTAATGGATGGCAGGTACTTCAGCAATTTCAGGCTCCTGGTGCTGGCCTGTACCTCCCATGGGAGCTAATGACCCAGCAGCACTCAGTCAGGAACAGAGCCTCATTAGCGTACTGCCGCCGAACCCAAGTGGGGCCTTGCCACAGGGGTGCACTGGGTGTAATGCTGTACAGAGAGTAACAGACCCTGGCCCAAGCCTGAGCATGTTGTGGTGGAGTGGGGGAACAGAGAGTGGTACCCTCCCAGCTGGGGCCTCACCTTCTCCACTCCCCAGAGGCACTGAAGCCATGGAACATTCATGCCATTGGCCAGGAGATGGCTACATTTATTGATCTGAACACACACAAGGCTGGAGTTGGGCCCTGCTCCCCTCTCAGGGCTGTGGAGGGGACAGGGGGGGCGTCTTCAGCTATTGGGAAAGAAGCCATCTTCAGCACCGTACGTGCCCAGCGCCCTTGGGGCTTCGTGTCCTCCTCTGTTGGGCCAAGCTGCCATGCCATGCTCCAGCTCTCACCCCTGCGGGCGGCAAGCTCAGAGGAAGTCAAACACCCCGTAATTCTTTGCTGCTTGACAGAAGAAACACAAAAGGGTGAAAAGAAAGAGGAGACGTTTAGGGTGGAAGGAGTGAGGTGGCAGCGGCAGCTACACACGGGCGAGCAGCACAGGCACCAGGATGGATGCGGGTTAATGGGGTTAGA